GATTAAATTTTCGATTTTCATTGTGTCTTCGGTTTATGTTGTTACAAGTACAGAAAAAGAAGCGAGGATTAGAATGAAAGTATCACGCAGGGATGAAAAGTTGGCCGATAGGTCTGATCGGTAACGGTATAATCTTAATTGTACTATAGAATTCTATATTGTAATCTGTAGCGTAGTGTGGAATTCTATGTATTATAATATAATCTGGGAGATTACGACACCAATCAGACTCGGTGGTCAACTTCTCGTCTCTGCACGGTATACCTTATTTTCTAAACGTACACTTTTTTATACTTTTGGAAGGTAGGACAATCAGAATCAAGAAAGTAGGTATGCAAGCAAAATTATGAAGATAAAGAAACTGTTATTGATCGTTTTCTAAATTAAAGTTAATCTTCCCAACGATTCTATTATTTTATATAAAAAATAAATACGTGAACATCTGTAGTTTAGTTATCGTCGTTAAAGAAATGGACAATTTGCAGTCAAAGCGTTCACTTTCAACGATGGAGGATAAGGAGAGAATCACGGTTCGTCGACGATGCTTTTAATGAGAGTTAAATCGGGGAATATTACTCGGACCTTGCCAGGATGGACGAGTCTAAATGAATGAACCGTGTAGGTCCAATTTCTTGACCTAAAAGGATGCACTTCGATCCTGAGAACTGAATCCATTCGAGTGTCACCTGCGAGGCCATTTGAAATTTACGATTCATAGAAAATTCTCGAGAACATCGAAATGCATCGGCGTGCTGAATAAATTTTCCAGAGATCTTTCAATACGTCCGAGGGGACCCGGAGTCCTAGCGAAACTGACAAATGATGATTTCGAAGCAAATAATGAATTGCTGAAACATGGAAAGCGCTATGAGATCGAACATCGGACCATTTCTTCCCTTGACATTGATTAAACATCGATATCGTAATCCGTCTAAGCAAGACTGGATTTTTTATACTGTGCAGCAAGAAAAACTTCCAATGAACATTAAAATATTAAGCTTGTAGGAATTTTCACTATTATTAACCAGACAGTCAACGCGTTAAATTTTATTTAAATAGATGCAACTACACCTTTTCTATAAATCCAAATGCAAATTTACCGAGACGTACAATTATCCAAATACGATTCATCTCCGAATCACTCGTCCCTTAGAATGCTCGAAATAGACACGCATAAGTTCTACTTGATCAACCAGGCATCCCTGGTGTTCCATTCATGAACCCACGACCCCCTACTGGTCCAACGAGCCGTCCACGGTCCCTCGATAACCTTGAGCGTTAAATTGATTTCAATTCGAGCACAGTTGCATTTCTAAACTCTGCTAGGAGCAACTAATTGCAACGCGATCGAGTTGCCCGCGCGTGAAACGTGCAATCAAACAATTGTGCGAACCGAAGCAATACCTCGGGCTTTAGTAGCTCTATTTCAAGCTACGCGTTGCTCTCGCGGATGATTAATCGCGAAACGAGGTTATTAGCGTTCGCCAGAAACGGCCGTACGCAATTAAGTTGTTAAGATGTCGGTTAAAAAGCCGACGCGGCGACTGCTTGGTCGACTAATCAAGTAAATAAGTAATTAAGATCTTTCGGTGAACAAGTGTAAGTATTCGAAGTCCGACAACGTTTAGAAAACTCGTTAGCCAGCTGGAGCAAGCTAAATGAGTTAAAAAAGAGATTTCTTTCGATATTACTGTTGCTTAAAATCTTCAGAGTTCCTCTACAAAGCTTTAAGGGGGCGTCCTTTTATTTGGGGTTATAGAATAAATTTGTCTTTGTTGATATACTCATTCTTCGAGGTTTCTCGAATATTTCTATCAAATTATATTTTTTTCAAATTTCAACATTGTCGCGGTTATAACTGTTTATATCAGAGGTTTACCAGTCTAATTAAGCCTATGAGCCTAACATAGATTTTCCGATAGCTTTTAGTGAATATAAAAGAAAAGTGCAACTTCCGTTTGAACCTTTTCTACGAAAAATAAAAAGTCTACAGTATTTATCAAGAAATAATTTCACCCGTTTAAACTAATCCTAGCGCCAACCAAAAATGCAACATTCGTTCGAACTTATCCTAAAAAAAAAATCCATAAAAAAAGAAATTCGCAATACTCGTCAAGGGATGATCTTCGCCGTTTTAAAACGTACGCTACTTGTCCCCAAAGGTTCCCGAACTCCCAGTTGCCTAACTTCCCCGGCGATCGATCGTCGATAGCACTTCGTCGAGCCCGAATTACCAGAAACCATCGTTCGTTTTTAATGGTCGTAAATCGTCGTGGTCCCACCACGATCGTCTACGTGGCAAAAAAAAAAAGGCGCTTCCTGTTGTCGTTTATCGTAACGTGACGTACAGTGAAAATTCATCGAACGCATTTCTCGTCGAGAACGGAGGACTTTCCCGCGCTTTATTGCCGTGAAAATAAAATGTTTTATATCCTCCAGCGAACGTATCGCGACTCGATTAGGGGCAACGAAATGATCATCGAAGGGGAGAACGCTGTAGGGCGCGATAAAAGTCAATTCGCCTAGGTACATATCATCGAGAGCGTTTTAATGTCAAGGTGAGAGGCGATATTTCGTCACCTAAATGGTTTAATTCGGAATCGTCGATGTTGAAACAGAATCAATTTACAGATATCTCGGAGCGAATGGAAATTCTGCGGAGGAGTATCATTAGAAAATTATATTGGAAATTAATAGGAGAGGTTCTGTAGCAGGCCAAGCGCAATTATGAAGTAGAAGGTTTTTCGATGGAAGCTCTTGGATTTCGTTTTTTTTTTTTTTTTTTGACAACGTTAGAATTAGTATTATTAGAAAATTGAATCGGAAATTAATAATGTAGGAGTCTAAACGAAAAATAAGGCATGGTGATCCGAACCCACGATCCTCGGATCCACAGTCGACCACTTTACCTACGTTTCGTGTTCTCGTTCGACTCCTTATTGTTGGGAGGCGCGTATACTAAAATAGGAAACGCAATTATAAAATGTAGAGTCTCCCAATAGAAACTTCAGGATTTTGTCTTTTTAATCAAATACACCTAATACGAGAATCCATTAAATTTGTGTAATTCATACGATATATTTATCAAGTATAGAAATTAATCATAATAAATTGTCTCTACTTCTGATCCTAATTCTCTTGCAGGATCAGAATCCGCACTGTAACGGAACTGCAATCCTCTTAAAATTTCAAACTTTAAGCCAGAAAATGGCACGCCTTGAACTTCTCTATTAGGTCTGAGAAGCAAAACAAACTACTCGAGCAAATATTTCGCGTTCCATTTATTCTGTCAGGCTTGAAAGATATTCTAATAATAAGTTCCACCGAATCTCATAGATCGATGTTAAAATAGACAAGACTGGGAATATTTCGAAGACGCGAGAACAGATGGAACGTGGAACAAGGTGTTGGAGTACGATGGAACTATGAATATTTTTGGGTGTATTATATTACAATATATGGAAAGAATGGTCTCTGTAAATATCTTTACGAGGACATTCTAATATTTATTTTAATATTCCTACGCCTTAATAACGTTTTCGTAACGAAAGCTGCGGATGATAGTATTTGATTATGGTCTATTTGAAGTGCGGGAAACGTCGAGAAAACGGTTGCTCTCCGATGCAATGAAACGAATACAGCTGCTGTATTTCCCAAAGGGATATCGCGAGTAGTAATTTACACAGGATTCCCTTCGTGCCAATAAGCGTTGCTCATTTACATGAATAACAATAGACAACAATTCTCCCTTAAATCGGGCCCTTCGATCCTTGGACCTCCAACTTCTTTAAGTACTTGCAGTTACAACGAGAAAAGCATTCGCGTGAGCATACAAGGTAAATTATTATTGAATTATTTCACTTTAAATTAAAATAACTCTCTCGCGAATTGAGTTATCCGAAAGGTACGTCTTTGATGTTATTTTTGAAAAGTAACGAACAAATGAAGGCGAGTACTAGCTATCTAATTATTTTTCCTTGAACATTTTTCTTTTCAAATTCGGAATAGATGTTCTCATTATTTTATCTAACAAAATGATTAGTAGTTGATTTTCACACGAATGAAAGCACTGATTTACAGTAACTAATCGCTTAAACATTGTTTTCTAATTGTATGCTACTTTAAGCCCTTCTATCTCAAACATCGAGGTAAACGCAAACAAAGTACTGCTTTACAATTTCAGTTCTGGTATATAATAACCAACTACTCAAGAACGTTTTGAAAAATTTGTTTTCTTTTATCATTCAAGGAAGGTCCAAGATCGTCAATTATTCAAATTCGTGAGCTATCAGTCCCGTTTCAACGATGTATGATCATCTTAGTCCACTTTGGGGATTTCCCTGTATACGAAACTCGCGCAAACCGGAAGCCAGGATGCAATATCACGCTCGTATCGAAGAGAAATTTCTCGGTTCTTGAACGGTAGAGACATTCTCTCTGATATCAACGGTGCCGACAGTGTCCACATATTGTAGAGTTGGCTGGGCGTACTTCCCGGTCGTCGTAATTAATGGGACACACAGAGGATCGGTGAATCTCATTAATTTCGTTGATGATCAACGTCGATCACGGTTCAGCCAGACCAACTCTTGACTTGCGAACAATGCAGTATCATGGCCAAGGGGAAAATTGTTTCCGAAATGCATGATCGATTTCACAGCGTAATTAATTGCCAAATCGTGAAATATGATGCCTTATAATGTTACGTTAATTTTATATTAGCTTCAAGATGACGATTAAAAATATTCTTAACGTTCTTAAAAACACTTCAAACTAAAATATTCTTCTGAATCGAGAATTAAAAGAGGTACTTATTTCTTTCATCTCGAGAATTTGAAAAGAATGTTTCAACTAAAGAATAAATTAAAGAGTTAGCTGTGTTTCTACTCAAACTGCTTAAATACACGACAAATATTAAAGCGGTTTGCAACGCTTCGCAAATACTCTTAAAAACTGTTAAGTGACGAATAAACATGTTCTCGATTGAGAAATTTGCTCACCTCGGTCTGCGTGTCCATGTCGACCATGATCGAAGATACAGGAGGCGCGATGACGTAAACCTCAATGGGAACTGTAACAACAAAAGCACGTACAAAACGTTAATTTCGTATAATAATAATAATTTTGTATAGTAATAATTTCTGTTATCTCCAGAGCCTTCGACAGAAACTTCCATGAAAGTACGCTCGAAACACGACCAGAAAATTTATAATTTATCCAAAACGGAACCTAACACCGTCGCTTTGCGATACCAAATCTGGATATCAGAATAAACATATAAAAAATGATTTCAACTCAAATCTCCAAGACAGAAATGTTCTCTTTTCTTTTTTTAGAAGAGATAGAGTGTTTTTTTTTTTAAAAAAGTTCCGAAACCGCCGATGTAAAAAATGATCGATGAGACAACGTCCCATCCGTAATCCTAATTTAATAGTTTACACTTTCGACGCTACTGTCCGCGTGCAAGGCGATCGATGGAAACTGGTGCCATTTATCCCTCGGTTCCTAACGACATTCTCGAGATGAGACCGAACAAAATCAATTGGCCGTTCAAGGCTATTGACGCGTTATTTCCACCACGCGGCTCGCCCACGCGAGTTCTCCATCTCTGAAAGAGGAGCGCCATTTATCACGGCGCAAAAGAAGCTGTGCCTGACTGATTCATGGTCGGAGAAGTGGTCTCGAGCTGAGGTTAATGTATTATACATACTCGAATTTGTTTTTGTATTTCCTACGATATTGGAATAACGAAAATACCACGATCTATTTAAGAAGAAAATATGACATTGAGATCAGTTCTTTTGTGTATTATAGTATGCGACACACTGACACGAGTACTTTTCCCTTGTAACGTAACTTCGGTGGGATACTGTTTGGGCTTGATTGAAACACAAAATCCTAAAGTTGAGAAACCTTTTTAGATAGCAAAAACGTTTACAGAGAACGGAGGACTTTCAACGCTTCGGAATTGGTGCAGGACCTCTTCAGAAAATGAAACACAATTCTACGAATGAACGCGATTTAACGATCGCTGTTACATTATGCAGACGAAAATCTTGCTCCGTGGCCTCTTCAATCTGCGATCTGTCTTTCGTCGAATCACAAAATATTGAAACCTTTCCCTTTCGATCCACAGAATAACAGTAGAGATTCATGTAATAAGAAATAAATATTTATTACAACTTTCAACGCATTGGTATCGATATAATTCTTCTCCAGAAGATGGGAAACAGATCTATAAATAAATACACTGTTCGTAACGATCACTGTTGCATAAACCATACGGAAATCTTCCTTGATATGCTTTTATTGGTTTTATTAGTTTATTGGCTTCAACCTGCAATCTATATTTTCGTTCTATCGAAACACAATCGTAAAACAAAATCGTAGAACCTCTCCTGACAAACCTCTCCAATCTTCGGAACGACACTGCAGATCCACGTAATAGAAAATAAATGTTCACTACAACTTTCGACGCTTCGGTACCGTTACAATCCCTCTCCAGAAAATGGAAAACAATTCTACAAATGCAACATCCTCAACGATCGCCGTCGCGGATGTTCGATCGTGCTCCCATTAGCTTCCACGACCTCTTCAATCCGCTAAACGTTTTCGACGCTACGAAAACACGCTCCCATCGACGCGATTGCCAGGATTAACGTTAATATTCATCCGCGAGGCACCCGATGGAATTAGCGAAGTCGCGCGAGTGCTTCGAAACTTAATCAAACTCCGAAGTGCCGTCTACTGCGTAACACGCGGTTATTTTCATTACATCGCCATTTCTAAACGTGGAAGGCGGCTTTCGCATCGTCGATTACCGCGACGAATTACCGTATCGGAAAGCAAACATAACGAGAACGCGAAATCGACTCCGAAACGAGCGTTTCTTTGCGTTCGCCGAGCATAAACTCGAAGTTTTATTATCCGACGAACGATACCGTCGATTCGATCCTTCGTGAGGTTATTTAAACCACGGGAACGAGAAATATTTGCTAAGAATATCTCGAAAATCGGGGCTAAAGAATAATGGGGGTAGGAGTGGGGAAATATTTCGGTGGGATCAAATATAACCGATGCCCTGAAAATCGTAAGATGAATCGTCCTCTCTGATAAATTGCTTTCTGTTCATTCTTTTCTCTTCAGAACGAATGTTTACGAAAATAGTGAGAAGAAGATTTGTTGAAAAAGAAATGAAACATAATATCAACGTAGATATTACGATACAATTAAATGTATTCAATTCAAAACTGTCTGAATTGCAACGTTTGAAAATGTACTGAATAATAACCAGACCTCATTGTGTAGCAAATTGAATACCTTCTAAGAGAAGAAACTCGAGGAATACTAAACTGTAAAAATGATACAAGACCAGAATTACCAGATAGAATAATCTGAAAATATATCGTTACAATGGAAGTTCTTATTACAACAGAATTCAATATATTCTTAATAAATGTTAAAAGACCATAAAAAGATCTGATTAATAAACGAATTCTACGTCAGGATTTCTTTTTTTTCATCAGCTCGAAAATAGACTCTACGATGCTTCAATTACTCAGCTCGTCATAAATTATGCAGCTCAGTCTTACAAGCACCTCGCATTGAAAAATTTAAAAAAAAAAAGAAAAAAAGCCAGAGAAATTCGCGGTAAAGTGGGACTCAAGTAATCCGAAGTTTATAGACGGTAGCGTACACCCGCAGAATACGCGATAAGAGGATCTTTTCAACGAGGCTTTTTTAAAGTGAATCGCGTTACGTAAAGCCTCGAGTTCTGACCTCGACGACTTATTTTCGAGAAGATATTTCTTTAAACCATACCTCCCGACAGGCAAAAAGGAGCTCGTACCAATTTTGTCCACTCTCGAGAGGATATTTTTGCGCGTCGCTCTTTTGATTGCGCGACTGAGTCTTAGTGCCTCGATCATTCAAGTCACGGTTCAATTTTACCCGTTTCAAGGAAAAATTCGCTTTCAGACTTAATTAGGCATCGACGTGAAAATTTCATTCAATCGGTACTTGCTTTTTAAAGGGCTACGCTAGCCCAGCGGCCTAAAATGATCCTACTTAAACACGTGGATTCAAGGTGAAAATTGATACCATTCCGAGTTCGAAAGCGTTATCGAATTAACATTCATTACGTCGTGTTTCATCCCTCAAGATTTATCTCGCAGTCCACGTATGAATCGATTTTATTCGGAGTTTATTATTACTAGCTAGCCATCGAGGGAATCTGCGAGTTCTCAATGAAACGGTTCCGCACAATTGCCCGTCGAGATCTGAATGGCACAAAATCTCTCCGTCGATCCTGACTAAGCTGAATTCGCGATTGCACCTTAGCTTCTCGCGTGAAATGTCGCCCATTTTCCGCGATTACAGTTCTCTATTACCAAAGGATTCCTAAAGGATTCCCAAGGATTACGAGAGGTACCGAGATATCACCAGCGCGCACTTTTATCGTTAAATAAAATCGCACAAATTTTGTTCGCCTACGTAGCTCGCCGTTACCGCCATAAATCCCATAAATACGAAGGTATTAGACGCGTGTTACCCCGTCGTTCCGATATACTTTCGTTAGGACGTACTTCTTGATTTACCAATTTATACGAATCGGAAATTATGATTCGGTGAATTCGCATCGATGAGTCCGATCGTTTCCAGAGGTGTGGTTTATCGAGCGATTCGAAATGAACGACTCGAGACAGGTTTCTGAACTGACTGACGTTTGTAGACCAAAGTAAGGTACACGAGCATGCTAAGATTATTCTAAGAAACTATACGCGTGGATACCATGATGAACGTTTCACGGAACACTCGAACCTAAACAAACTCGATAGGTTGAGTGGATTATGACACAGAGAAGGAATAAATAAGGTATGGCTCGGTTCTATTTAAAACGTGCGGGATTTGGTGATATTTTAATATCCATTGAAACCAAATCCACTGAACCAAGTAAATATTAATCTCGGACAATGGTTAAATTAATTATTAACGATATTTGTTCGAACAGTGACCGAGAATATGATTTTTCTGTAATATTAACGGTTCGTCGATTCTATCGTCCTTGGAGCGAACAGACTCTGCTGACACGCGTCCACCGATTCGCGTTCGACCTTCCTTGGCTGATAGGAACCCAGGCGTATCAGGACTCCTGATTCAGGAGTATCAGGACAGTCCGAGGATTCAGTACCTCGCGTATACTTCGAACGAAAAAGCTGGACCGATCAAGGACCAAGGCTGGCCTAGGGAACTTTGATTCCTACTATCTTCGACTCTCCACTCGCAACAACTTCCACGTGACGAGACCTGGTAATCGGTATCACTCGCGACAAACTTTGTTTATCCTTCGTCACGAAAATGGCTGCGAACTCGTAACATAATCTTTAAATATAAAATTGCTTGTTCCTTTCTCTTTCCTCTTCCAAAATATTGTAAAAAAATCGTGAATATAAATCGTAAAATAAACAGGAAGATATCATTGCATAACTCTACATGCGACTCCACTGTCAGGTCCGAACGCGGCTAAATTAAAATCCCTCTCATCGATCCCTCGACGAAACACGTGTCGGCGTTTATAAGTCAGAGACGAATCGCTGTAGGATTACTATAACTTGTCCAGAGACGTTTGCGCGACTTCCGATTTAGCTCGAAACAGTTTTGGCTAAAGCGTTGCGGTCTTGCACGCAGCTACTGGCTCCGCGCCAGCTTCCACCCATTTAACCACCGACCACGACTTTCTGATACCAATACGCCTCATTCATCAACAAGCCAACCGACACGGAACCTGCGTCACTGGACCAAACATTTCTTTCGAAACGTAATGATTATCGATGTTTCGCGTTGCACTCCAATTTTCAACTAATAGGGGCTCTATTCGTCATCCTATTCTTTCTCTAACCTGTGACATCGATATTTCAACACCCGTATTCGAGTCGGACCAGTTGTACTATTTTTCCGTGGCGTTTTTCGGCGGCAAAAACGATAACAATTATTCGTTTCTTGTTTCCTCGGAGACACACAGTCGGCGTAAGAATTATTTATTTCAAGGAATCATTTATTTTAAATTGGTTG